GTCGTTTATTATCGCTGCCCGGACACGTTCTTTTTTTTTTCTTTCACGAAACGATCGCGGCATCTCGCCTGTCTTTCGCACCTTTTCGACAGGCCCCCTTTCGCCGTAGGTTATTCAAACAAAAGAGGTGGACGCTCAAATATTTCAGGTCAATCGATAATAATCTCGTGGTAAGACGACGCTCGTTGAATTTTTCATTTTCTCGATATGGCAAATGAAAATTCTGTTGGGTGATGAATTAGAGAGCGAGAATTTTTTTCATATCATTAGATATTAAATAATTATATAAAGTGAAGTTACAGCCGGTAGTTTTTGAGAGTTACGGCAATATAAGTCATAAAGCGGTAATAAATTTTGATGTATGAGGTTTTTTCGGCGAAAACGGAAACTCACCCTGGCATATGGCGGCTAGCCGTCGGAAGTGATATCCCAGGGAAACGTGGCGTAGGTTGATGTTAAACTTGATTTCGGCTTCTCGCGAAAGTTCGCCAGAGAGAGAGTTCGCTACTTCTCTAGGAGTAATTCATAACTTTTACCACGGCCCAGTTCAATAACGTCCGTTCCGCTAGCGGTTCATACTGATAATTCATTTTAAAACAGCTCATAACTAAAAGCCAAAGGAATACAGCGTCCGAGCGAACATTCAGCGTTAAATCAGAAAACTTCCGAACGCAAAAGGCGGGAATCTCGTAAAATTGCATTAGGGCAGTCATTTTCCTCTTCTGATTGCGGCCGAGGGGGGTTCTAGAAATTGCACGGAGTAATGGATATTCAAGAACGCTCCGGTTGTACCTCGACATATACCATGGTCCCCTGGAAGTTAAGAAAAACTTTGTCTGTAATTCTGGAAATCCGCGCCGATTCGCCATTTCTCTCGTCTATTTCTTTTCTCATCGATCGTTTCCAGGATGGGAAGAAATCGCATATATATATATATATATATATATATATATATATATATACATATATATAAATATATATACCGCCGCGAGATACAAGACGGATCGATGCGATGCGACCGAGAGAAGAGCGGATCTCCAGGAAGGAGGGACAGCAAATTTTCCTCTCCGACGAAAGACGGCGATCGTAATAACTATTCTCTACCCCCGTCGTAGAACGCCATCCACTTCGCGTAAACACCAGCATAAATTCCGGAACCCGTTCCTTTTCCGTTCGTCTGCCCCGAGTTACATTCCGGCCGTCTTGCACCACCATTAACCGTTACGGGACCATCTTGAAGTGTTTCTCACCCTCATCTACTTGACCATCCCGCTCGTTTCTTTCGGACGAAACAAACGAACGGGAGCGATTTTCCATTTCCCCGATCGATTTTCCCGATAATGGCGACAATAGTGGAAATAGCGAAGAGCCATTAGTTCGGTGATTAATGATGACGCTTATGATCGAACGCGCGGGAGCGCCTCGCCTCTTCAGGGAGAAGATTTTAGGAATCTGGGTTCTTTCACCACACCCACGGATGGAAAGGGGCGATATTATTGTGACTCTGCGAAAATCGCAGTAATAAGAGACACGGGACCATTATTCACGCGGATGTCTTAGCGGGCGAGTGATTTGCGAGCACAATAGTCGGTGGGAGGCGCGCGATGCCGCGCGAATGTCGAGATTATTTGTTAAACGGTACGATAAGAGCGCATGGCTAAACCATGCGGCGCTCCTACCTAAAATGCATGTACCTACAGCGAGATGTCTACCTCGAATGGATATTTCTCATCGTATATAGAGCATATCCACTCTCGAAAAATCTCGACATTCACGAAGATCAAGGAAAACACGAAATTCTCCAGTCATCATTTTCTTCGTACTTTATAACATTTCTTTTTCTAACAATACAAAAGACTCTGATATAGTATAAATATAAAATTAATTTATAAACGATTTTTTTTTTTCCAATGTAAAGTTACTCCTTAATTTATTTATATGCATATTCAGTTGCACTTATTAATATTTTGTAATTATTCGCGCGTTTTTAAAAAGAAATATTAAATTAATTAAAATCAGGTATGAAAAGAGACTGATAAGAACGAGGTGCAACTTGTTTTTAAATTCTTCTTTAATTATAATTATTTTGAACGTTTCAGTCCTTTCTTTGGACCATCTTTAGCAGATTAATTAAAAAAAAATTCAAATGTCTTTTCTATTTGAAAATATTTGTACTCTTTACTCACTTTTTTATTTAATATTTATTTTTAACGCGCGAATAATTACAAAATATAATGTATATAAATAAAACTAGAGGTAATTATATAACAGAAAAATAAGATTGCATATCAAAGAAGAACGAAGCTAGCAAATGTATCGTCTATAAGCTTGACATAAATGAGAAGATTCTGTAGAAAAATAAACGACAAGAAAGAAGAGTGTGTTGAAAAGAGAGTACACTTTTTCTCGGTTGTATATCGATTTGGTTTCCGCCGTCGTCTCATTAAAGCCGGAATTAAAGCGAGTTATCAAAGCAGCAAGGTAGGTCGCGCAATTAAGATATTCCGAGTTGGAATTTGTCGTTCCCTCAAATTCCGCGGTATAATCGATTGCCTTTGTAGCACCTGTCAAACGGCTATAAAACCCGATTTTCGGATTACGCGATCCTATTGAGAGATGCGAGGGCGAGCGTTGGTGGTCGGCAAGACGAGTTGGAGAGCCGTGTGACTGACAGGCTTCATGGTTTATTCGACAAGTCGAAGAGTACATAGGGAAGCTTATAACATCGTATCCAGCTTACGCTTTGGGTTAACAGCCTGGGTGTTCGACGATGTACCATGATGCATGACGCGGTGTCGAGTTCCAATTCGCCGGGCATCCATGAAAGCAGGCTCTGTGCTCGATGTAAAATATCGGCGATTCGGGATGAAACGAAGCGCGCGCGCATCGAGCCATCCTGGTGTGTGCACGTTAGTAGATGAGGATCTCTCTTTGAACGATTACCTTTAACTCGATACGTAAGTGAACGGCTTTACAAACCGGCTAAAAACACCGCATGTATACACGCATTGTGTTAATATTATACAAAAATATTGCATTACAAATTAACGATGTTTGCGTGATGCGGAATAAAGGAGGTAAAAACGACGTATATTATGCACTGCATTAATATTACAAAAACACATAAATTAACGATGTTTGTATGATGCGGAATAAAGGTAGTAAACGAAATATATATTGTCGGATTTTTTGGTAAGTATATTCATCTTTTAAATATTATAAATAAAATACGTATAATGCAATTAATGTCCAGATTAATTATTTTTGTGTATATTCTTAGCTTAGTTTGTCTCTTGAAATATTTTTGGCCTGATATTAATTTGTCGGGGCATCTCCGAACAATGACCCGAGAATCGAATTCCATTTCACTACGCTTTATGAGATTGATCGCGAAGACCAGTCGTGTCCTCTAAATAATATTTCCGCTTTTGTGATTGTCTAAATACACCATGATGGAAATGCATAATGCTAGTTTACGTTTCATCGGTAACGCAGTTAATGTAATATTTATTTCCATACATGTTAGATAAATGTTGCATCAATTAAAATATATAACTTTATCAAGGATCCGGAACATTGAGCAAATAATGACATTCGTCAATTATAGTTGGCTTCGGATATCGTTCTAATTAAAACGCACAAATGTTATTAAATATGTTATATATTATTAACACGCTATATACATAAATGTATATTATTAATGTTTATCATTGTATTGATTCACTATGTGTCCTTGCATAAAATAAAATCTTTTCATATGATCATTGATCACGTTTTGATTCGTCAATTAATAATATAGTAATAAATTGCTAAAGGATTAGTGCTACATTATTTATCATGTTACCTATCAATGATTTTTTATACAATTATATCTCGCAATGTAAAAGTGATGGAGGATAATTTAGACACACGATGAGAGTTTTGTTGAAAAATGTTGCCATGTGATTTATAATCGCAAGAATTAAATAATTCTGCTTAATATTACACAATGTTAGGATCCATTATTAATACAAAGAATTAAAGTTGACTGTTAGATAGTGAATAAAAAATAAGATAGAAAATACAAAAATAACGACATATACATATATACTGCATATACAGGAACATGCTTAGATATTCAACGCGGATTTAGGAAAGGTACCTTCGTAGATACCTACTCGAGGATTAGGAAGTGATTTGCAGGCGATTGCCGATAGCGATGGAAACACGAAAGCCAGAATTTATCGTGATTGGAGCGAGTTCTCGTAGAGAGAGTCATGAAGCTTCGAGGGCGGTTATCTCGTGCATGCACTAGGTACGCACGAACTATGAGTTTTCATGAACACACTCCGCGTGACGTGCCCTCTTATTCTACGAGGACATATTTATCGTTATATGCAGTGCATTCTCTTTCGACAGGTGCGCACCAATTTATTTAGAATCTATAGAATTCACCTGGCAAAATCTGAAATTTCACAATAAATAGGAGCGGCAAAAGCGATCATCAGCTGTTTACTAAGTTAGAAGTTAGCTTGCGACAGTTTTAATTAAAGACTCTGTCCGTTTTCTAAAATGAAATCTATGCTCCAAGAGAAAAAGAGAGGGAGAGAGTTCGGTTCTTCGACAAGAAGTTCCTCTTCTATCGTAAAGCCTCATTAGAATCGGAAGAGCGTAACGACCCTGGCATTCCGTCCCACCGCCAAGTTTCCTCATCCTCTTCTGTCGAAAATCTTACGTTCACGCATCCGCGCCTGGACCGCGAGGCGATTACGGCAACTAATTAGCCGCGCCGGTAAATCATAGCGTTCTCCGCGATATAGAACGATAGAGATGTGTGTGTAGAAATTTTCGGAGCGAAACGCGCGCGAGATAGCAGAAGAGAGGCTGGAGCAAAAGCGGGGTCCAGAACGGGACGTACGGCGCGAGCGTGCCCGAAGACGACCGAGCAGCAGCGGAGTGAGCCGAAACGACTCGCGAGGGTTCCTCGCGATATTCAATGGCTTCAGTACCGAGCCGCCGCGGGTCAGGGCTCGATGTGGCTTCGTCGCGGGGGAGATTTGTCGCCGGTGCGTTTCCACGTTCGATACGCGACGCGAGTGATTCATGAATCAAAATCGAAGCGAGAGCGCGCGGTGATCATATCGATCGATCGCTCGATCGTTCACTCGATCGTGCTTCGCGAGTGCCGATCGATGACCCCGAAAGTTACGATCCGCGGTACATTTTTTTCGCCGGTATTTAAACGTCACTGCCCGAAATTAGTCGGACGCGAGTGAATTAGCACGCTTGACAGTTGTCACGTTTTTTTCTTTTCATGCTACTTTTGAGATCTTCGATCTTCACGTAAAGCCGTCTCGCATCTCTTACGCACGTGCTCGTTTGGTGCATTGTTGCAAGGCTGAACAGAGAGAAGAGCAAGTGCGAAAAATTGGAGTCCTTCAACTAACAATAAATACTACAGATCTGGTGGCTTTGTTAGCACTGTGTCTGATTAACCGGCACTGTTAACCGGAACCTATTCGTACTTGATACGCCAGTATCGATACATCGTGATTAACTTCGCAGTTTCATACGCACGCGGGTGACCGTTCGATATTTGGCTGCGGCCGAGGTTAACGTGTCGGAACATAAGGGTGAAATATAGTGGCGGAAAGTACAATCAGTGGTGTGGCAAAACGACGATTTGTTCTACGCCGGTGTTTCCGAAATTTCCGACATTCGCGTCAGGTCGATATATAGTCAGCAAGACGAAGAGCTTCGTGTTTTACCAGAAGAAAGATTTAGTTTTTAAATAAACAATTTTATTTTACTCGGCCACACCCGCGTATTATAATTTAGGGGAAAAATCGAAAATACTTTTATTCTCAAAGTTTGTTTTTTTCGCCCCGAATCATTTTATTTTTTAAACAATATATCGCATGTATTGCTTGATTGGATGTTGCGGAGGAGAAAAATATACGGTCACGTCCGAAACGAGCGCAGCGTAAATCCTCCAAGTGTTTTGAAAATTTATCAGACTCGCGCAACCTAGTTGCGCCGGGACATATATCGTGCTGAAGTTTCGACAGCCAGAATTTCGAGACAAGTCGAATCCACTTTGCAAGTTCAGTCGAGACCCAACGGATATTTTATTCCATTCCGCAGAGATTTACCACGCGATCGAACGTATTAGTGGGTCGCGACAGGACCTCGAGACAGAAACATTCAGAATTCAAATAAAAATTCCAAAAAAAAACCTTTTTAATTGGAGCTGCAAGCCACCTTCTACAGACAATAAAACTACAATTGCCACTCAGAGAAAAGCTGTCAGAAGCATCGCTCCGGTACGAATTCGTTTATTCAGCAAATCCTACAATCATCCACTCGTTCAACACCCGAAAAATTTTACGGCAGCGACAAATTTCCCTAACAGAGTAACGCATCGGTTATAGTATAAGAAACAAGGCAATCGAATGAAGCCTCAATTTTAAGAATTGCATCCGATCTGGAAAAATTTACCGGAGAGATCAATTGAACGGATCCAAAGTTGCTTCAACCGAGAAAGATCCTCACGCGATAAGCTAAAGATTGTGGTGTAAGATGGAGAAACACACTGAATGGTCATAACATACGTCGTTAGAGGTGTCCCGTGTCTTGTTCCTGGGAGGCCTGAAAGACAAATAGTCGCTGTCTCGTTAAATGACGACAGGTACGTGAGCGACAAGACAGATAGGGGACGACGGCTCGTATCGGTTCGCGGCGACGGCAGTAGCAACAACGACGAGGACGACGACGAGAAGGAAGACGAAGAACGGCGGACAATGTGGAAGGCGGCGCAATGCAGCAGCAGCAGCAGCAACAGCAGCAGCAACAGCAAGGACAACGAGAGCGGCAGCAGCAACGTTGGGGGTTGCAATTAGTGCCGGCTCGCTACGGCCGCGAGACTACGTAACGACTGTAGGAGGAGGGAGCGCAGAGTGTTACGTCGACCTTTAGGGGGTCGAGGGTGTGTGCAGTGCGCGTGAAAGGGAGACAAAATGTGGTGGAGGTGGCGGTGGTGGAGTGTCGTGACGACGACGACGGTGATGACGCTGGTCTTGGGAGCCGCTACGGCGTACTCGCCAACGGTAGAACTCTCCGATCTGGATAAGCCGAGTGAGTAATACTACTAGTTATGCATGATTTAGAGCTGGGAGTTGTAATCCTTTCGCAGTGCAGAGACGAAACGCGAGGTACATTATTTCTGCATCGATGTATAGGGAATTTGTTTCGAATATTGGGTTGCGATATGTTATATTTGCTATACTAAATCAAGTCTGCAAAAGTTAATGTACCTATGTAAGAATGAAAAGTGGAAGCTTGTCTTTCGTAGAAAAAAAATTAGTAATACTTTGAATCTTTTCGAGTGGATGAAACTTTTCTGTTTTTCGAAGGGATTAAAGTGCTGCTCCAAGTTCCAGGGCGGCTCAACGTTGCTCGCGGGTCGAAGGTCGTGACGCGACGAATTAAATCAAATCTCCACGGTTCCTCGTCACGAGGCTGTTGGGAACTTTAAACAGCGGATTATTACCGTCGACCTCATCCGAGGAAGTTTCGCTCGACCGCGTTCAGTTCTCACTCTCTCTCTCTCTCTCTCTCTCTCTCTCTCTCCTCCTTTCCTCGTCGAAACTCGAGTACGGCGTTAGGTTGAGGGGGATATAAATGGAAAGGTGCTTCTGAATATCATTAGCGGCGTTCTCCGATGTCTCATAATTAATCGGACATTTCGCACTTGCCGAAACTGTTCTTGAGACGTCGCACGATCGCCTGTATATGCATCATCCCGCGATGCTGTGGCAGATGTATTCAAAAATTAAAATAACGGTACGGCCATGTTATTTTATCTCGGCAGTCGAATCTACAATGTAAATCATAATTGTAGGAATTTTAATCCTGGTGCGACGGCGCGAGGTTGATGCATATCATTAGCGATAGGAATACTGTTCTGTGATTAAAATCTCTTGCACCATTACGTACGTGGTCGTAATTGTATTCATCGGACGACACACATACGCGGATTTAAAGATAGAGAGAAATAAAGGGAGAAAACTTTTTTCAAGAGCAATTTTAAACGATTACTAAAAATATTTGACATTATTGAAATTTTAAATAATTTTTCAATATTTTTTTTTCTTATCCCTCTTCGATAATAAGTGCTTTTATTTTCTAATAAGGAAATGTTTCTTTAAGGAAAATACCTTACTTATGTCAATATAATTACTAAGATTATTTATCATTATTAAGAAATCTTCGCAAATTACTCAAGCGTATAAACGACGTAATAATAAGGTCGTAAAAGTCAAAGAACTCCTATAAGACAGGAAGCTAGTATGTATTATCTAGTTGTTGTTCAGCTATCTGTGTACCATGATATAATAAAACTAAAAATATATTTATATTTTTTTCCACATTATCAACCACTTGGCACATTTAGAATAGCAACAGGAAGTCTGGTCGATTGATTATTAAAAAGTTTTATTGCCATTTCCGAGCTTCGTATCGTACGCTATAATTATACATGGCGCTTTGTAGATAATACGCGCTTCAAAAATTAATTTAACACTCTGTAAGCCGGATAAATGATAAAGAAAATTGTAGGACCGAGATATCCGATCGATTCAGGCACGGCGGAAGACTTAGGGAAGGGAATGACGGTTAAAATAGTTTAATTAAACCACGGCGCTAAGCCCCTCTTAAATTTATAGCCGTGCAATAAAAAAGCATGTTCCACAGCGGGGATACGAGGAGAAAAAAATTGGAGTTTCAATAGCAAAGTTCGCGCGGCCGCGAGGACAAAAATAATGTGATGCTGGTTTCGCACTTTTGCGAAACTCTCTCTTGAGGAAATTTCCAATCTATTGCGCCATTTATTCGTCGCCATTTCTGTCGTATAAATGTAATGTAAATGCCAACGAGTATTTTCCCACGGGCATTTAACTCTGACCAGTATGTGATGCAGGATAAAACTCGCACGTAACATCTTTTCAAAATACTATACTTCCATTTTACAACAAATCCCTGTTGACATTTTTGCAAATTACAACTCTGATTGCTCCCCCATGCTTATCGAGACAATAATGTAACAGTTCATTATGGGAATATCTGGGAATATCTAACTAATGACATATTGGATGACCAGAGGGACTAATGTTGCCCGCAATCGACAATCATTGAGTCCTCAATAATTATAGGAATTATTACAATAATAATTGACGGAGAGCTACTGGAGACACTATATATATATATATATATATACGTTGATACTTGAAATTGAATAGGTTTTATTAATATGATTAAAATATTAATTTCTGTGACATTATTTTTTAACCGGGGAAATAAAATTATTATTGCATATTATATAAAATGTTAGAAACAGAAAATTATATAAAATATATGAAAATGATAATCTCGGCTAATATACATATCGTATACATATCATCGATTAAATTTCATTTGATGAATAGAGGAGAACTATAACAGTTAGGCCATGAAACTAATAAAATTATATGCAATTTTGTAAACAATTAAAATTACACATAATGCAAGAGAGACATTAATAGAATCGCGATCTTGCGAAATTAAAACGTCAAATTGCCAATGTTATGTTCTGTTTTGTTGGAAGAAGTCCTAGAATCTTTAAACAAAATTCAACACATATACATATCATTATCGAAGAAAATTTCTTCGCGCGAGAATTAGCAAACGTAAATTAACGCAATCTCCGCTTGATTCAAAGGCGCTTAATTACGATCGGAATTGCTCCGATTTCGTTAATTATTATTTCACAGCGTGGCGAAATGTCAAGCCGCGCGAGTTTTCATAAGGTTTGTCTGACTTCTACTTTTCAACAGGTGTTGCTGACGGCGAAAGACAACCGACGTGTACACATAGTACACACGTAACTAACGCGTCGCGTTAATTAACGATGCTTTCACGTTTATTCGCGTAGCAAAAGTTAGACGCATTTACTTTGCTGCGTTCCAGTATTTCGAGATAATAGCATTCGGTTTCTTCCTAATGAAGCTAATGTCATAATTCAACGCGCTAGAAAAGCGGTCAGTATAAATGTCAATGATGAGAGATATGTTTATTTTTATAATATTCTGTTTTTTTTAATGTGTATGGCGATGCTTGAGAGATGTGAGTTTGGTACCTACTTCTTGCAAATAACTAGAACCGCAACAACTGGAAAAAACAACTTTAATGTGCGCGCATCATCGAAAAATGTACTTTGTACTATAAAGAGGATCTCTTTACGCGTCATGTTTTTATAAACAGACTGCACCGGGAAATGTAAACTAGAGCGCTTACCATAGCGCGAGCGCGCGTCGGTTAACATTTTAATAGAGATTGCATAACCGGGAATGCTTTCACCGGGCCACAATATATGGAAAATGTGTTACAAAACATGTCCGCGCTAAAAATAAAACATCTGCTCCTTTTTCGTATAAACAAATTTTTTTTTTTAAATTCTAAATATTAATAGAAACAATTTATAGAGCATAAAGTGTGAATATAAAATTTATTTTTTTCTCTAATAATTTTTAATTTTTCAAAATAGGCGATGTGGAATTTTTCACATTATTCCTTGATTTTAAAAAATTTCAGAGGTACAAACACAAATCTGCCACCGCTTATTTTTATTTCAGAGTCAGAGAATTTTTTAATTATATAAATTCAGCGCAATATGTACGGCAGGAGAAAGATTATTTATTCAACTCATTAGGAATTCTTAGACGGAGACTCTCTCTCTCTCTCTTTCTGAATCTCATATTCGAATCATCATCATCTTTGATACTGTCGGGACACTTTCCAACGACAGCTTTCGAAATCACAGCATATCATAGCAATTAATTTCTTTTTTTTGCCGGTAAAGCCGAAAAGCCGTTGCGAGGGCAACGACGAAATGACCACGAAATCGGTCTAATGGTCGGCCATTTGTCATCCTCCATCCGAGGTGGCATTGCGGAAAGGGCGAGAAGGACCCCTTATGCGCACGCCGGCGACCAAGACGATAATTTGCACGCGATTTCATCCGTCGTATACACCTTCCGCGTCGGTGTATGACTTAATGGAAACACGGCTCGGCTTGCTCTAGAATTCAAAAATAACAGAACCTCGTAAAGCGATCACGACAAGCTGTCTCGCGTTCGAGGGCCATTTTAGCGCGGCGATTACGATGTAATTACAGGAATTGTAGAAAAACGATGATTATTATTAACATAACGACACATGCGATATTACTTTCGGACTGTCGTTAAAAAAAATAGTACGGTCTCTCTTCTCTTTCTCTCCTCTCGACACCCCTTTGTCCCCTATATCCTTGCGTAACAACCTTATCGAAATAATGACCGAGGGTAAGGGAAAAGTAGCATTATCGCGCATCTAAGCAAGGCGGAGACGATCAAGCGACGTAACGTGTATGTTTCATACCCGACACGCGAATATTCAAGATTATCTCGAGTCTAATCCTGGGAAGATTAATTGGAATTGGCAATGCACCTGTTATTCTTAGACGAGGGACTGTATACTAAAATAACATTACGTGCGCGCTGAAACCCGAAAGGACCAAAATGATAATTATTATGCGATTTCGCCGGATAACCTCGTTCCGTCAGTGTAAAAATTTGTGAAAGGATGATTAACGAACACGCTGGTGGGAGATGTATGTTTTGCCTGTCGAACGTTTTTTTTTCTTCCGCGAAACTGTGATTCCAATGCTTGAATGTGAAATGTATTCGTGTGATAAAAAATATCAAGCATTTTTATTATTCGTTTGAAGAGAGAATTATTAAACGAAGAATGTGGATAAATGCGAGGAATTATTGCAGTATCATCCATTTCTCCTCCCTCTCTTTCTCTCTCTCTCTCTTCTCTCTTTTCTCTTTTATACTAACAGGAATATCGAATGATTATTTGCACGCGATCTCAGTCCTTATTCGTTCGATGCAATCGTGACTACAGTTAGCATATTTTTTTGCCGAGGTTCACTTATTTTAAATGCACTTATTCTAAGTACATTTATCTGTCATTAAAATAGCTTTGATCCTTTGTTTGATTTTGAGCAATAACACAGTATTACTGAAAAGGAAGATGAAACAGTTTTGAAGAGTCTC